GTGTGTGTGTGTGTGTGTGTGTGTGTGTGTGTGTGTGTGTGTGTGTGCGTGCGCGAGCGCGAGTGTGTTTGTGAGCGCCCCCAAAGGAGACCCCACAGAAACTACATTCAGTCGACAACCTGCTTCCTGGGGGATGCCCTCCCCCGAATCGTGGTTTCTTTACTTTGGGGAATTCGCACAAAGTGCTGGCCTAAAACGTGGCTGGCGTTGCAAAGCTAAGGATCCATTCAGTGTTGTCCATCCTGCCAGTAGTTGCTTGCGCAGGGGAGCTGCGGCAGGACTGCAGTCTGGGAAAAGCCCTACCTGCAGAAAATCAATTGCAGAGGGCTGGATGGGAGACCTCCCCACCTCCCGTTCCTTTAATCTTTCGGGTATTTCCTGTTGTTCCAGATTAAAACCCAGGTTTTTTTTTTCCTCCTTTAGGTTTTGGGCTATTTTCTTTCGTTCGTGTTTTTTTTTTTTTTTTGCTGCCGAGGAGGCGGAGAATCTGGGCCGGAAGCCGAGGAGGGAGGGGGAAAATCCGTGGGCCTTTTTCAGTCACGCCTGCGCGGTCGCCTCCTCCTCCTCCTCCGCCTCCACGAGCTCCGTCTTGTGTCACGGGCGCTGACGACAGCGGCCTCCTCCGCATCCTGTCGCTATGGCAACCTTTTTGTTGCCTCCAACGCTCGAGTGGTCCAGCCGAGGAGGGGGGCAGCAAGGGCGGTATATAGACAAGGCTTGGGCGGGGGGGGGGGAATCAGGGAAGGAAACTCCAGTTCCCCACCCAGAAAAGGGGAAGGCTGGAAAAATCCTGCGGGAAGGAGAGGAACTGAACCAGGAGGACAGAAGCAAAGAGATTTATTATATTGATTAATGTAAATTGTACAGACGCTGCTTTTACAGAGTGGGCTACTTGGAAGGAGGAGAGGAGGAAGAAAAGGCAAACCCATCTGGAAAAGGAGAAATCCTCAGCCTTCTTCCCCAAGGGAGAGAGCAGATTTCTTGACAAAGAAGAGTTGGGGGAACTGTCCTGAAAGTCTTTGTTGAAAAACACACTGTCTGGTAATGTTTTCCATCTTTCTTTTACAAAACTGGGCACTGAGGATTAACAAGTTGGCATTGCAATTTTTGTAAATTCAGAAATAGTTATTTCTCAGGTGGGGCCTTGGCGAGGAGAAGGGGATATGAGGAGAAATGAGGAATTGAATATTTGGGAGTGGGATGGCCTTTGAGACTGAAGAACATCCAATGAAGGAATTGGGGTGTGTGTGAGACTGAGCTGCCCATAAATGCAGAGAGGGGCACATGCTTATAGATAGATAGATAGATAGATAGATAGATAGATAGATAGATAGATAGATAGATAGATAGATAGATAGATAGATAGATAGATAGATAGATTATATAAGTTTAATAAATACATTGTGATTAGTTGAGGTGGGGAGCAACTTGTTTTAAAATTGTGGCCCAAGTATAATAGCTACCATGCCATTACAAGACTTGTGGCCACGTTCTGTACAAAATATGAGCAGAGAATTTGCTCAGTTGCTCTTAGAGACCATGTCAGTAGCACAACTCAGCTAAATCTTGAGTAGATGGGTTCTGAAGGAAGGAGAATTGAAGATGAAGCATTATTTAAGGATTGCTAAAAAGAGTTCAGAACTGAAGCCAGATATGGTGTGCTTTGAGAGGGATGGAAAGGGAATTGTGACAGGGGAAAATGTCAAAATGGAGTGAGAATGACTGCTCAAAAAGTTATGGTAAACAAAGGAGATGGATTTTGGCAAGCCTCTGCTGAGGTGAGTGTGTTCTCAAACTAGAGCACAAAGCTTAAGGAGATGGGAAGTTGACATTGGTCAAGCTTAAATTTATTTTATTTCTTATAATGTTTATCATTTGCTCAACATTGCAGGGATAGCTGTATGTAGGGAAATCATGTATAATTCAGGGGTTAAAATCAAGCATATATCTACAAGTGAGTACAGTTTGCATCTTTTAAAGTTTGAAAACTAGGTGATTCAGCATCATACACATGTATCTGTGGGGGAAAAGTTTGAAACCAGGAGGTTTTGAGGGAAATAGAAAATGAAAGAATAAAGTAGCTAGCAGCTAAAATCAGAATACCCAATGAGTTTCTGCAGATGAAACTAGGAGGCAAAACTAGATAGGGAAAACAACATAAGTAAAATTAGAAATGGTCATTTTAGAACCAGCATATTTATTAGGTCACCCTTATTTCACTCCAAATGCAAGCATACCTGAATTGAAAAGAGGAGACTATTTTTCAGAATTTGGACTATGGGATTATGATACAATATACAAGTTTCAAGGTAAATGAGAGGACAAATAGGCTTGCTACACTATATCCTATTCTTTTATATAAAGAACTCTACTATCGTCATATTCTTAAACCTGCAATTCTATCCTGAAAAACCTTGGGACATTCAGAGACATCATCTGTATCCCATCAACACACCAGATAGCAATAGAAATCCCGATCTTCCTTTTAGGAAAGGAAGGGGTTGTTTTTTGTTTTTGTTTAGTTTAGATCCTTAGTTAACAACTGGGGTAGGGAAGCAGAACCTATGGGAAACAGCGAATGCAAACTCGACTTTTTTTCTCCTGGTAAAAGGTGAGGAGAACCTACGATACCAAAACTGCCTCTCTCCCTTTGCACCAATCTTGAGGGAATATGAGTCACAATTTAGCACCAGAACTTTCCCCACCCTAATTTTTGAGCCCGTGGCTGTGGTGGTGACAGAGGGTGGGGTGAGAGAAGTGATTGAGAAATGCGCATTAACAATCCAGGCTGGGGCGAATCTAGGAATAGTAGAGAATCCACTTCCCCTTTAAGAGGCTGTCTTCTCCCTCCCCCATTCCTCCATTCCCCCATCATCTCCATCATCCCCCACCCTCCTGCGCATTATTCCTGCAGCATCATAGTTTCTAGTTCCTTCCTCCCCTCCCTGTCTAGCCTAAGAAGCAGGGGTCCCCTCTGGATGTCAACAGCTTCTGGAGAGCTTCAGAGGAATGATTGAGGTAGGATATGGGAAACTATTTAGCTTTGCAGAGAAGTAGAACTTGCTGATGTTTGGGATGACATCTTATTTCAGGCCTTCGTGTACTTATTCCTGCCTGTTCTTTCTCCCTCCATTCCTTCTATTCCAATGCCAGTTTTGTCCTGCTTCATCACATCGTTTGGGCTGCAGCTGATTCATCCATTGATTTTGTTGGCTCCAAAATCTATTTCTAACTCTCTCTTCTTCCTCATTTCGTATCTCTACAGGTCCCATGTTCCTCTCTTACAACGAAATAATTTGTTATAGTAAAAAAAGAAACTTTGCACTTGTGGGGCAGGTCAAGTTTAAGACACGAGAAATCAGAATATTAACCTTTAATTGTTAAAGTGTACCAATTCTTAAGACTTTGCTTCTTTTCTCTCACTCTCTTTCCTCCCCACCCCACCCCTTAGCTGTTATGTATGCTGAACCATCCACCATGAATTTCCGGAACCATGGGTTCTTTCGCCGTTCTCCACCCACTTCAGTGGCAAAGCCATCTCCTGTTGCTGGGAACACATTGTCGGTCTTAGGAGGCATTGCTCAAATCTCTCCTTGTCTCTATCTTTGCTCTGGCAATGCTGCATCGAATAGACACATGGTGTATTCCCGGGCAGTGACCTGTGTAGTAAATGCTACCATGGAAATCCCCAATGCCAACTGGCCAGATATTGACTATGTAAAGGTGCCTGTTCCGGACCTCCCTCACGCTCCACTGTCTTTGTACTTTGACTCCGTGGCTGATAGGATACACCAGACAGGGAAGAAGAATGGAAGAACTCTAGTCCACTGCGTGGCAGGTGTCAGCCGGTCTGCCTCCCTCTGTATTGCTTACCTAATGAAATATCATCGGTTGAGCCTTTTGGATGCTCATGAGTGGGTGAAGAGCAGGCGACCGGTTGTAAGGCCCAATGTAGGTTTCTGGAGACAGCTCATTGAATATGAACGCAAGCTGTTTGGCAAGAACACCGTCAAGATGGTGCCTTCACCCATTGGGTTGGTTCCAGATGTCTATGAAAAGGAGACCCGTGGGCTGGTCCCCTTGTGGAATTTGAGATAAAGATTATCATTGAAATGGGCTGTGGGCCACCTTAACATAGAATGAAAAAGTTCCACCTTATTCGGATGTTTAACAGGACTGTTCAATGTGGTGGATCTTAATAAGAAATTCTGTTTAATGGTAGTCTTTTTCTAAGATCTTGCAATATGAGTACAGTAGATCATGGAAAAGAAATGAGTTGTTTGAACTTTTCAGTGTGATAAGACAATGTTGTTTGTTATCATCCTATCAAACATTGCTAAGAATCTGTATCTTGCTTACCGTCTGAGATGAGAAATGGTTAAACACAAACGTACAGGCAGTAAAGATTATTGTACTATCACAGATTCCAAGGTCTTGCTACATTAATCTTTGCATAGTAAGGAGAAATATATTTCCCCTTTCCTCCCCCTTCTGCTTCAAGAGTTTCAGAAATCCTTCCTTGGGGTTGCTTTAACTTGAATAAGCACAATACACTTTCATTTCTGGAATGTTAAGCCCTAAGGCGATGTGAATTAAAACAATGATTCATCCAAAGATTCAGGATTTTGAGGAATGCACCTAAACTAAACAGCAATAGCCAAGAAGCTGAGGATGACACAACTATCACCAATAGGAATAAGATGTCAAATCTACAAGGGAATGTTATTTCATACATACATTCACTAAGCAGGTTGCAACTTGGCCAAGGTATTCCACTCTTGTGGGGAAGATAGGAGTTTTTGAATATTGGCTCAGGTTAACTCCAACAGGGTGATATAATTGGATAGGGGTTGAAGAACAAATATGCCAATCAAGCCTTCTTCATACCCCTTGTTAAGATTCAAAAGTATGTATCAGGGAAGTTTTTTCAACACACTGCACCTTAAAAAAGTGAAAAAGAGAACATCTTGAAAGTTAACACTTTCAGTCAGGCTAGAAGTACGACTTCAAAAATGTTTAAAACTACATAGTGAACAAGTAATAGTCATAATTTGGTGTCAGCAAGCAGTCCTGTAGTTTTGATTATGTGATTTGTAGTATTTTGTAACAGGATTCCTAAGTAAAGCCTTTTTAATAATATAAATAGGAAGGTGTATCCAGAACTGAGTGAATATCGAGGTCTAAGTGTGGCACTGTGTTTCTTAACTTTGGCAGGTTTAAGATATGTTGACTTCAATTCCCAGAATTCCCCATCCAGTATGCCTGGCTGGGGATTCTGGGAGTTGAAGTACACACATCTTAAACCTGCCAAAGTTGAGAAACACTAGTCGAGGTATCAGATAGGTGGGGTGTCAAACCAGTCACCATATCAAAATGGTTTAAATTAATTATTGAAGCATGGGTTTGGACAATACATCCATAATAATTATAAGAAGATGTAATAAAAATGGGGAAAGAATGAATCTAATTCCCTTTAGATATGTGGGAATGGTAACTCCCAACTTTTGTAGTCAGTGTATCCTTGATCAGTTGTCATTCCAGCATACTGAGAGGGAGAACAATGTTTAAAGAAAGCTGTCTTAGAACTCTATTAGGAACAAATTCTGGAGTAAGATGTCATCCTAAATGGAAGAGGTCCAGAAGAGTTTCTGCATAAACATCACACAAGCATAGTCAAATCTATAACCAACACGTGGGTCTATGTTTATGAAAGGAACGGCTTAGCAGCATTTCCTAACTATTCTTCTGTCCAGAACAAAGGTAATTCATTCCCATCTAAGATTGTTTGATTATATTGACTTTCAATACAATTGCTAACTGGGTGTTTAACTAAACAGTAACTTAAGTTTTATATGGGAGTTGAAGTCCACATTTTTGCTGAGATTGAGAAACATTGTTCATCTAAGCAAGCAATTCAGAAATCTATTTCATTTATGTAGATAGAAAATAGTCACTTCCCACATTTACAAACTGAAAGGACAGTACGTTTTTTGGAAGCAAAGTTGTCTTTCTTACAGATCTTATTTTTTAATGGATATGTAACAACTTGGGTATCTGCCATGAAAAATGTCTCATATTTTGGCATTTTACATGGGAACGAGGATATGATAATACAGGGATGACTTTTTTTGTCAGGAAGAAAACTCAGATGGATTATTTTAACTTTTCATTTGTACATGGTTCTAGCACTTCCTGCTCTGTAATTATTAATGCCTCTAAATTTGTCTAGAGAAAGACAATTGCATATATATGCGCACAGTTTTGCATAAATCTAAAATGGCTAGAAGTGATCCACCTCCTTATCAATCAGAAGGAAACATAAATCTCCCCAAATTGCAATCTCCCTCCCACTCTCAATATTTGCTTCATTTTATCAGGGTTCAGAGACTAGATAGGGTCAGATCTTTGTAATATTTAGATAGAAATCATTATTGGTATCTTAGACTCCAGGAAGTCAACAAAAGACAAGCTCAACTCGAAGGAGCATTTTTAATCTCCCAAAATGCTCAAATCTGAATGGGTGATAAAAACCTTTCAAAGACTGAATATGACATTAGCAGAATTGTACAGGTGTTCAGAGCATACCTTCCTTGCAAAGTAACTTTTGGGTAGCACTTCAAGAGGCTTCCAAGAAAGAATTTGTTCCAGGGTTTTACACACAAGCTGGTCTTCCTTTCAAATGGTAAATGTGTGTATATAATAAGTTCTCTAAGGCGCTGCATCTTAGCCTTGGCCACTTGAAGATGTGCGGGCTTCAATTCCCAGAATTTTGGGATTTGAAGTCCACACATTTTCAAGTCTCCATGGTTGTGAAACATTAATCTAAGGTCTCTCTATACATTGTACATAGAAAAGAGCTATGTCAATATAAAAAGTTCTGATGTCTTTTGACTTCAGTGGCAAAAAGGTCTATATAAAAATAAAAAAGTGAACCAGTAGTTTCTTGCAGCATTATTATCAGTTTTATGGTGGGTGTATATGTTTTAATTTAATACATTTATATAGGATATATAAATGAACGGTTACAGGAACAGGGCATGGCTAGTGTGGTGAAGAGAAGGGGCCAGGGAGGACATGAGAGAAGTGTTCCAATATTTGAGGGGCTGCCACAGAGAGGAAGGGGTCAAGTTATTTTCCAAAGCACCTGGAGGCCAGACAAGGAATGATGGATGGAAGCTGAACAAGGAGAGATTCAACCTGGAAGTAAGGAGAAATTTTCTGACAGTGAGAGCAATCAACTAATGGAACAGTTGCCTTCGGAAATTGTGGGAGCCACATCACTGGAAGCTTTCAAGAACATCTGTCAGAAATGGTGTAGGGTCTCCCGCTTGGGTGGGGAGTTGGATTAGATCAGTGATGGCTAACCTTTTTGTTGTTGCGTGCTGAAAATGTGCATGCGCACAAATGCCCGCATCCATAATACAATGCATGTGACCACCCCATGCTCCCCACGCCCCCTGCGCATGCATGTGTGACCCCTCCTGTGTGCACCCCACATTGCCCTGCATGCGCCCTGCACCCCTGCACATGCACGCACATCTCCCGCATGCACCCCGCTCCCCACTCTTGCGCAACAGGCACCCGACAATCAGCTGGCTGGTGGGAGGCGGGTGCACATGCACTGTGGAACTGAGCTGGGTCGACAGCTCGCGTGCCAGCAGAGATGGCTCTGTGTTCCACTTCCAGCAGGCTTGCCATAGGTTCGCCATCATGGGACTAGATGATCTGTAAGGTCCCTTCCAACTATCTGTTAAACAGATATAGACAATGGGTACCTCTCAAGGCAGATAAGCTCTTTGTGCAGAAAGTTCCAGATTTAATCCTTGATAGCTTGTTATCTCTTCCTGTGATTGTGGGTAGTCAGAATATATTCACAACACTGGATCACCAGTACTCTGAATGAGGAATAGAAAGCGATCTTAAGGAAAGTGATGTTAGAATCATCAGAATTAAATAGACTGGGACTAGCATACTGTGCCAGGTACTTTTAGTCAAGAAACTCAAGTCTCCCACCCCACCTGAACTCTTGATGGGTACGGGTAGCTCTTGACTTACAATCATCCATTTAGTGACAAAGGTTACAACAGTGCTGAAAAAAATGACTTACGACCCAATCTGCTCACCTACGACTTGAAGCATCCCTATAGATTAGAATTTGTGCAATTGCAAACTGGCGTGGATTTACAATGGTTGGAGTATCCCAGGGTTATTTGATTGCCATTTGAGACCTTCTCAGCTGGCTTCTGATTGGCACACTTAACGTGGGGAAGCCAATTCGTTTAACAATTGCATGATGCACTTAACAATTGCAGGGATTGTCTTAACCACCATGGCAAAAAAAGGTAAATTTAGTTGCAACTCACTTAATAACCACCTTGGCTAGCAATGGAAATTCTGGTTCCAACTGCAATAATAAATCAAGGACCACCTGTACACGCTATCTTTCAGACCTAATTGAAACTGGTTAAGAATTGCCACACTCTTCTTCCTCTCTAAATATTGAAATTGTTAAATAGAATCTGAATTAGCAAGGCCTAAATTGTTCCAGCCAGACCCCTAGAGATATCTCGATATGTAGAGATATAACATGCATGCACCTAACAAAGTGGGAGCCATTTTCCTGTATGCAAACTTTTTAAAATTGGGACCATTAAGATGTGTGGACTTCAGTTCCCAGAATTCCCTAGCCAGTATGCTAATTCCATGCTATCCAATAGATAGGAGATCCCCACCCAGTTCCTTCTGATCATGTTTATTGATGCTATGTTGCAACAGGGAGATGGGACTGTGGAATTGTGCACTAAGAAAATGGCAGTTACTGAGAAGACCATGTAAGTTCCATTTCCCATGTTAGACAGCTTGTTGCATTAAACTTAGCAACTGAGTCTATTTAAAATAACCTATAGCAAGGCAGCCATTCTAAAGAGAGAGATTTGTTTGTTATACTAAAAATGATGCTGAATTAATCAGCAAATAGATTATACAGGTGAAACTCAAAAAAATAGAATATCATGTAAAAGTTCATTTATTTCAGTAATGCAACTTAAAAGGTGAACCTAATATATGAGATAAGACTCATAACATGCAAAGCAAGATAGTTCAAGCTGTGATGTGTCATAATTGAGATGATTATGGCTTACAGCTCATGAAAACCCCAAATCCACAATCTCAGAAAATTAGAATATTGTGAAAAGGTTCAATATTCTAGGCTCAAAGTGTCTAGGCTCAATCAGCTAATTAAGCCATAACACCTGCAAAGGGTTCCTGAGCTTTTAAATGGTGTCTCAGTCTGGTTCAGTAGGAAGCACAATCATGGGAAAGAGTGCTGACTTGACAGTTGTGCAGAAAACCATCATTGACACCCTCCATAAGGAGGGAAAGCCTCAAAAGGTAATTGCAAACGAAGTTGGATATTCCCAAAGTGCTGTATCAAATAGAAAGTTATGTGGAAGGGAAAAGTGTGGAAGAAAAAGGTGCACAAGCAGCAGGGATGACCGCAGCCTGGAGAGGATTGTCAGGAAAAGGCCATTCAAAAGTGTGGGGGACTTTCACAAGGAGTGAACTGAGGCTGGAGTCAGTGCATCAAGAGCCACCACACACAGACGGATCCTGGACATGGGCTTCAAATGTCGTATTCCTCGTCAAGCCGCTCCTGAACAACAAACGTCAGAAGCGTCTTACTTGGGCTAGAGAAAAACAGAACTGGTCTGTTGCTCAGTGGTCCAAAGTCCTCTTTTCTGATGAGAGCAATTTTTGCATCTCATTTGGAAACCAAGGATCCAGGGTCTGGAGGAAGAAGGGAGAGGCACGCACTGCAAGATGCTTGAAGTCCAGTGTGACGTTTCCACAGTCTGTGTTGATTTGGGGAGCCATGTCATCTGCTGGTGTTGGTCCACTGTGCTTCATTAAGTCCAGGGTCAATGCAGCCATCTACCAGATTTTGGAGCACTTCATGCTTCCTTCTGCAGATGAGCTTTATGGGGATGCTGACCTCATTTTCCAGGACTTGGCACCTCCCCACACTGCCAAAAGCACCAAAAGCTGGTTCAATGACCGTGGGATTACTGTGCTTGATTGGCCAGCAAGCTCGCTTGACCTGAACCCCATAGAGCATTGCCAAGAGAAAGATGAGAGACATGAGACCGAACAATGCAGAAGAGCTGAAGGCCACTATTGAAGCATCCTGGTCTTCCATAACACCCCAGCAGTGCCACAGGCCGATAGCTTCCATGCCACGCCGCATTGAGGCAGTAATTGCTGCAAAAGGGGTCCAAACCAAGTACTGAGTACATATGCATGCTTATACTTTTCAGACATCCGATATTGTTCTATGTATAATCCTTGTTTTATTGATTGCATGTAATATTCTAGTTTTCTGAGATTGTGGATTTGGGGTTTTCATGAGCTGTAAGCCATAATCATCTCAATTATGACAAATCATGGCTTGAACTATCTTGCTTTGCATGTAATGAGTCTATTTCATATATTAGTTTCACCTTTTAACCTTTTAACCTTTTAATGAACTTTTGCATGATATTGTAATTTTTTGTTTCACCTGTAGAATAACAGCCTTGGAAGGAATCTTAAAGGTCTTCTAGTCCAACTGCTGCTTGAGCAGATCCTATACCATTCCAGACAGATGTCCAATTTCTTATTGAAAACCTCGTGATGCAATACCCACTTCTGGAAGTAAGCTGTTCCACTGATTGTTCTCACTGACAGGAAATTTCTCCTTAGTTCCAGACTGGATCTCTCTTTGTTAAGTTTCCACCTGTTACTTCTTGTCCTGCCCTCAGGTACTTTGAAGGCCGGCCCCTTCTTGTCTGGGACAACCCCTGAAGAACTGAAAGATAGCCGTCAATGTCACCCCTAGCCCTTCTCTTCATTAGATTAGAAATACCTATTTATCTTAACTGTTCATTGAATGTTTTATTTTCCAATTCCTAATCATTTTTGTTGCTTTTGTAAAAAACTTGAAGCTAGTATATGCAGGTGAAAATAACAACCCTTGAGTTAAATCCAAAACATTTTTATTTAACAAATATAAATCTTTGTTTTCATAAACTCTTTTAGAAAGTTACATGTACAAAGACAGTGATTCAGATCACAAAAAATAGGCACATGAAATCTAGCTCAGAACAAGATTTAATCTTCAGAAAATTACCCATCCACCAAAATGGGAGGAATGCCTCATAAATGTATTAAGGAAGTGATATTCTCCCACTTTTACATGAAATGAAAATAAAATAAGTCCCAATTCAAACAATAGTTTTATATATTCCTGCTTAGGAACGTCTAAGCTTGAGGAAAGTGGTCAAAATATAGATAGTTTAGGAATGCTGTAATGGTAATGTTGTCAAAACTTGGGGATATTGAAAGGAAAAAAAATGGATTTCCTTTAGTGCTCATCTTCAGAAAATTTGCTTTCAACTGAGGTACTTCTATTCTTCCTTTGCCCAGGGAAAGTGCAATAATAATTTTTTTTAAAAATGATAACGTATCAGGAATCATATTTCTTTGCATTCTGAGCAGAAGAACGGGAAAAAAAAGATAAAAGAGATTCTCTCATGGCTGTTTGATGACTTGTGTCCCCCTTTTTTTCCCCCTCTCCCAAAAGATCGATGAATGCCAGCCTCTCCTCCACCACAGAGTCAACTGCTTTCCCCATCTGAACTGATCACTCCTTGAAGCTGGGACCAGTCTGTGGTGTGACGGCGAAAGGTCAACTCTTCTGGCGAACTGGGTGATTCCTGGGGCTTATTGTAAAGGCTCCAAACTTTGCGACGCTTTGGACGGCCTGCATGGAGAGAAAGGGAAAGTCTTCTAGATGTGCTAGGACAATGCCCCTTATTGCATGGAAACTGGTGGGCATCTCCGGATTAGACTCACTTGCTCCCTGTCAGATTCCGAAGGCCATGAATGACAGACTGAGGTTCTTCTAAGAAGTTTCCTTTATTGTTCCTCACTCCCAGAGAGGAATATCACCAAACTAAAGCAGGCTACTTGCACTATGAAGCACATGCAGGTAGTCGTCAATTTACAGCAATTTATTTAATGACCATTCTAAGTTACAAGGGCACCGGAAAAATTTATGATTTATGACCAGTTTTCACACTTACAGTACAACTGCTGCAGCACAGCCATGGGTCACATGATCAAAATTTGGGTCCTTGGCAACTGGCATGTTATTTATGACAGTTGCACTGTTCCACAGCCCTGTGATCACCATTGGTAACCTTCCAGGCGGCTTCTGACACACGAAGTCAATGGGGGAAGCCAGATTTGCTTTTTGACTCCCTGATTCACTTAACTATAAGAATTCACTTTACCTCCATGGGGAAAAAAAGGTTGTAAAATCAGGCACAACTCAATAATGCCTTGCTTAATAATGGAAGTTTGGGGCTTAATTGTGGTTGTAAGGCAAGGATTGTCCATATTTTGCGAACTATTAGGGAGCAGTTGTCTTCACCCTCCTTCTCCCACGCACATGATATAAAGTTGTCTTTTTTTCATCTTCTGCACTCCCTCCTCCCCTCCTGGGCACCTGGAGTACATTCTATCACTCTCTCCAAGTGTGAAACACCTCAATCCAAAGTTCACTCACGCTCTGCACCAGGCAGAATCAGCCCTCCTCCCATGTGGCAGAATGTGGTTGTCGCCTGGATCTTGAGGGAGGGTAACAAGGGCTCAGAAGAAGAAAGCTGCAGGCCATTTCCCTTTAAGCTGGTCAGCTGCTTTCTGAGGCACAGTTAGTCCTTGACTTATGACCAAAATATCCATTGCTAAGTAAGAAAGTTAAGTGAGCTTTGCCCATTTTATGACCTTTTTTGCCGCAGTGGTTAGGTGAATCACTTCAGTTGTCAAGTTAGTAACACGGTTGTAAAGTGAATTTGTCTTCCTCATTTGACTTTTCTGATCAGAAGGTTGCAAGAGGTGATTGACCCCAGGACACTACAACAGTAATAAATATGAGTCAGTTGCCAAGGGTCTGAATTTTTGATTACGTGACCATGGGGTTGTGGCAACGGACATTAAGTGGGAAAAAATGGTTGTACCTCACTTTTTTCAGTGCTGTTGTAACTTCAGTGCTGTTGTAACCCTAAACAAATGGTTGTAGTGGAAGATGCTGTTGTATTCACTAGTTTAAAGAAAAACTCAACAGTCCAGTCAATCTTTGGTCAACACTCCAACAAATGGAGTGATACTCATATGTTCTCCTCCATTGCTTACATTAGTGCTTTACCTTATTTCACTTATACCCTTCTCCAGTCCTCTTCCATCTCGGCTCTCTTTTTCCACCATAGAGACAGTCCTTGACTTACAGCCATTCATTTAGTGACTGTTCAAAGTAACAATGGCACTGAAAAATGTGACTTATGACCGATCCTTGAACACTGCAGCATCCCTGGATCACATGATCACTATTTGCGACCTCTGATAGACAAAATCAATGGGGGGGGGGGGGAAGAGAGCCTGATTTGCTTAGTGATGCAGTTCACTTGACAAGTGCCATGATTTGCTCAACAAGTGAGGCAAAAAAGGTTGTAAAATCAGGTGAGACTCACTTATATCCCCTTGCTTAGCAGTAGACGTTCAGGTCCCAATTGTGGTCATAAATCAAGAACTAGCTATACAGGTAGTCCTCAACTTACAACTACAATTGAGCCAAAATTTCTGTTGAGTGAGACATTCTGTTAAATGAATTTTGCCCCTTTTTACAACCTATCTTGCCACAGTTGTTAAGTGAATCACTGCAACTGAATTTAAGTTGGTAACGTGATTGTTAAGTGAATCTGATTTCCCCATCGACTGTGCTTGTCAAAAGGTTGCAAAGAGTGATGACAGACCTTGGGAAACAGTAACGGCTGTAAGTATGAATCAGTTACCAAGCATCTGAATTTTCATCCCATGATTATGGGGATGCTACAAAGGTTGAAAGTGTGAAAGTGGTCATAAGTCAGATTTTTCTGTATCATTCTAACTTTGAACAGTCACTAAATGAACTGTTGTAAATTGAAGACTACCTGTAGTTCCCTGTAAAAGACCACACTTAACTTCTCATGCTTTTTTGATCTCCTCTCCAATTTCCCCTGAGGAAATTTAGTAAAAGGGGGCCTTTTATTAAATAAAGCAGGATCTCAATAACATTAGTGCAATTATGCAAAAATGGAATGATTTGCACCTTTAGAGTTAAAAAAAATTAAAGAAACAAAAACAAAAAAATTACCCTGACATCTGCATAAAAACAGAACCAAGTCAACGTATTTGGATGGTGAGTGGAATTGTATTATTTGCCATTTCTTCGGGCTGCCATTTTTTGGAAGGGGGTCTTCTCAAAGTCAGTTCCCCCAAAAGATTTCAGCATCCTAACAAAGCACTTTACCTTCTGTAAAAATAATATTGTTGATATCAAGAGAAGCCATTTCGGCTGCTTCTTCCCGCTTCTGCTTTATTGCTTTGCATTTGGCTAGGGATGGAGGTCCTGAGGAAAGAAAACAGAAAATAGAGGCAATAAATGGAGATGTGCAATACTCTGAAATGGCTGCCGTTCTGGGACCCAAAATTGAAAGCCCAAAGAAACAGAAGTGGTGCTAACAGAAGTCCAAGGCTTTTAAAGACTGCTTAGCAGGCAAAAATACAATAGCCAATCATTGGCACAGAGCACTAAGAAAAGCAGGTTACAAAATGGCTCAGTCACAAACTACCTCCTCTCCTGGTAAATGGGAAAACTCTAGCTCAGGTGTAAAGCTAGTTCTAATGAGTTCTAGTCCCACTGTTAGAGGACTAGAGGTCGCCCAGAGCCCAGCTGGGTGACCTTACACCAGTCACACTCTCTCAGCCCCAGGAAAGAGACAGTGGCAAACAAACTTCTGAAAATTTTCCAAGAAAACTGCAGGCAATCATCTGACTCAAAGGTGTGCATGCACACATACACACAAATTATAGAGCCAATTTGGTTTAGTGGTTAAGGCACTGGGCTAGAAACCGGGAGTTCAAGTCCTGCTTTAGCCATGAAAGCCAGTTGGGTGACCTTAGGCCAGTCATTCTCTCTTAGCCCAACCCATCTCACAGGATTGTTGTTGTGAGGAAAATAGGAGGAGGAAGGTTTTATATTTGCTGCCTTGAGTTAGTTGTAAAATTAATAAAGGCAGGATACAAATAAGTAAATAAATAAAATAAATATGAGGCCTGAAACAGACCTCAAGCCCAAGGGAAAAACGATACAGGTAATCCTTGACTTACAATAATTCATTTAGTGATGATTCAAAGTTATAACAGCACTGAAAAAGGTGACTTATGACCATTTTTCAAACTTACAACCATAGCAGCATCCCCATGGTCATCTCATCAAAATTCAGATGCTTGGCAACTGGTTCAAATTTATGACGGTGTCTTAGGGTCATGTGATCAGCTTTTGCGACCTGCTGACAAGCAAAGTCAATGGGGGAAGCCAGATAGGTTGCTAACTTATCAACTGCAATGATTCGCTTAACAATTGTGGCAAGAAAGGTCGTAAAATAGAGCAAAACTTAACAGATGTCTCATTTAACAACAGAAATTTTGGGCTCAATGGTGGTCGTAGGTGGAAGGCTACCTGTATAGGGTCCTTGCTTTCCATAAAACTGTCCCCAATATTAGCAGTTAATTTATTGACCCTGAAAATAAATATAGGTAGTCCTCAATTTACAACAAATGAGACCAGAATTTCCACTTCTATGCAAGGCAGTTATTAAGTGAATTACGCCCCATTTTATTATCTTTCTTACCATGGTTTTTATTTTATCATATGTCATTGAGTGAATCCAAGAACCTCACTTTGCTTATGGGAGGACTGGCTGGGAAGGCCACAGATGGCCATTACATAATCCTACAGTGCTGCAACCATGATAAATACATACCAGTGGCAAGCAGGCGAAGTTTGATTGTGCAACTGTGTGGAGATTTTAACAGTTGTAAGTATAAGGACCACATTTTCAGTCCCGTTGTAACTTCGAATACTTGTGGAGTGAATGATTGTAAGTTGAGGATTACTTGTATTGAAAATTGGTTGGGGAACTCTAAAATGTAATTTGAAAAATTTACATTTTGATTCAAACCCAGATTGCCTTAGCACAAATATAATTTATTTATCTATTTATTAGAATTTATCAAACAAAAACAAGAATAATAAAGATACAATGACAGGGACAATAGGCACGTTAGTGCACTTAAGAACAGCCCCTCTATAATTTCTTTGATAATAGCTCAGTCTATTTAGTTAACCAGCCAGTAAGGTTTCTGTTTATACATTTATGGCTTAGTGTGCCATGGCAATTCGGTGAGCTGCAGCCTGTTCCAGAAACCCAGATTAAAAGAAACAATAGCTTAGCCATATGTGATACCTTTTTTTTCGAGGCTCCGTACAAAGAAATTCACATAGCTCAACCTAAAAGTATCTGTTGAATTATTTTATTTATTTTATCGTATCTTCACTATTTTTAAAAATAATTCAAGGCAGCAAACATACCTAATATTCCTTCATTATCCTACTGCTTTTCCCTCTCACAACAACCCCGTGAGGTGAGTTGGCTGAGGATCAGTGGCTAGCTCAGTCACCCAGCTGGCTTTCATGCCTAATTCGGATGTAGAACCCACTGTGTCCTGGTGGTCGGTCCAAAGCCTCCCAGCTGGTTTTCATGTCTAAGGTGGAACTAGAACTCATTGCCTCCCAGTTTCTAGCCTGGTGCCTGGCTACGGCTTATATCAACCGCCATTAACTAACCTTTTACGCCAAGACTTTCCAGCTCTTCTTTGAGAGCCTTTATCCGAGCTTTGTGGGAGTGGCAATCTGCCAGGAGCTTTTTGTAATTCCGATGCGCACCACATTCCCAGATGTAGCGTTTCAGACGTTGGATGAAGGGATGTTTCTCGTTCTTTCCAGAATGATGCTTCTTATCCTACAGCAGAGGAGGAGATAGGTTAACAGCCCAGCTCACAATAAGCTTTCCACGAACAATCTTGAACAGATCAGAGAAAGGCAATCTTTATTTTTTAAATCAATACAGCAGTATTTCTCAACCATGGTAGCTTTAAGATGGACTTCAACTCCCAGAATTCCCCAGCCAGCCATGCTAGCTGGGAAAGTCTAATTGGCCCATCCATTTTAAAATGGCCAAGGTTGCAAAACAGTGCTATACAGAGAGTCCTTGACTTAGAACAATTTGTATTGTGAGTGAAGTTATAAAGGTACTGGAAAGTGACTTATGACCATTTTTCACACTTATGACCATTGCACATACCCATGGTCACATGATCAAAATTAGGGTGCTTGGCAACTGGCATATATTTATGATGTTGCAGTGATGTTGCAGGGGGGGTCATACAATCACCTTTTGCAAAAAGTCAGTGGGGAAGTCTGCAGACGTGCTATCACTGCAATTCCCAGGATTCCCTGCTAGAAAGCAGCCATTCAGTGAAATTCCTTCGAATTCTGGAGCTGGATATTTGATACATATGACAGGGCCCAGGTTGAGGGGGGCTATACCAAGTTTGGTATGGGAAATTTTTTTTCTCCGAGGAGTAAGGACCAGTTTACATAACTTAAGGGAATGTCAGAACAAGGCTTGAAGAGAAAAGGCCTGGCTAACAGGGCCTTTAGTGCAAACAGATTCCCTGGTCTTTCAGTATTCAAGAGTTCCCTTGCAGAGCAAACTGGAACAGAGAATGGGATATTGATGAGAAACTTCATCAAGTAACAACAGACCCTCAAGTTCTCAGCAGCCAGGCCAATTTGACCCAGCGGTATGGAGCATGTTATCTGAAATGTGTAGAATTGCTATACAGTACAAACCTTATGATAATGGTAGTCCTCTACTTATAAACACAACTGTGCCAAAAACTTCCGTTACTAAATGAGACATTTGTTAAGTGAGTTTTGCCCTAGTTGTTAAGTGAATCACTGCAGTTAAGTTAGTAACACTGTTTTTAACCGAATCTGTCTTCCCCATGAACTTTGTCAGGTTACAAAAGGTAATCACATGACTCTGGGGAACTGCAACCGTCATAAATAAGAGAGCTGCCAAACGTCTGAATTTTTATCATGTGACCATGGGATTGCTGCAATGGTCATAAGTGTGAAAAATGGTTATGTCATTAACTTTGAAAAATCACTAATGAACTGTTGTAAACTGAGGACTACTTGTACAGATAATCCTTGACTTAAAACCACAACTGGGACCAGAATTTCCATTGCTAGGCAAGGCAGTTGTTAAGTGAATAGTCCCCGATTTTACGATCTTTTCTGCCACTGTTGTGTGTACTTCAGGGCGTTATGTGAATTACATGGTTGTTAAATGAATCTGGCTTCCCCCCATGGATCTTGCTTGTCGAAAACTCCAGGACGCTGCAACCATTGTAAACACATGCCGGTTGCCAAGTGCCTCAATTTTGTTCACAAGATTGTGGGGATCCTGAGACAGTAGTAAGTGCGAGGACCGGTTATGTCACTTTTTTCAGGGCCTCTGTAATTTCAAATGGTCACTAAATGAATGGCCGTAAGTCAAGGACTTCCTGTAAGAAAACATATTTGTTTAATGTCCCCGTGTGGATGTCCCTTACCTTTCCATGAAGGTGCTGCTGAGTAGTAGTGGGCTTGTCCCCCACTAAGCTGGACCTCTCCCCTGGTTTCTCCTTGGTAGCACTCCCCCTTTGGCGCTTTTTCGTTCTTCTCTGCCTCTGGCTTTGTCTTTTTTTCTTTCCGTTAAACTCACTCTCGAAATCCTCAGAACTAAGCGCAGAGGTTTCTTGATCCATGCTCTTTCTCCGTGACTTCTGAGCTCCTCTCTTCTTCAACTCCTCCCCCCCTTGACTTGAGTCAGACCCAGAGACATCCTTGTTTTTCTTTTCCAGGGTCCTCCCTGGATCTCCATCCTCGTTTTCATTTGATTCACTTTCTGACAGGAGACTTGTTGTAGCTGCCTTCCTAGACTGGCCTTGATTCATCTCACTTTGTGATTCCCCTTCACTGCTAGTGGGATCCTGCACCCACTTCTTCTTCTTCTTCTCTTCCGAGCTCTTATGCTCCCTTGACTCACTTTCAGATCCTTCACTGGGGGAATCCTGAATCCTTTGCATCATCTTCTTCACTTCCTCCGGTTTCTTCCTAAGCAGATCTTCCCTCTGCATTTTCTTCCTCCCCGCTGTAACCTTAGGCTGCCTCTTGGGTTTGGAGTGATTTTCGGTCTGCTGGTTCCCGCTTTCTCCCCTGGCCCTCTTTGCTCCCTCTTCCCTCCCTGGACATTGATTTGCAGAATCCTCAGAACTGCTCCCCAAATCCTCTACAACTCTACTCTTCCTTCTGCGTTGGCTGCCTGCCATCTTCTTTTGCAAATTAAATTTTTCATCAGGACCACTTCCTGAGGTATCCTCACTCTCGTTCCCCTCCGAATCTTCCTGGGTTCCTGGCCCCATCCTCTGCTGTGCTTTGTTAGTACGGAATGATTTCTTCTCTTCCTTCTCACTTTCACTCCATTCTCTTTTCTTTTCAGATATTTCTTCTACCTCCGACAGATCAGTTCCTCCCTTTGATAGATTCTTTTCATCTCTTTGCTTACTCATTATCCTGTTTTTTGCCTTGTCTTTGGGGTCGTTATCTTTAGACCCTTTGTCCACCTTTTTCTTGAAGTCTCTTTGCTTCAAACCGTTCCCTTTTGTGACCTTCCTGTATTCTTTGACCTCTTCTTCAAGGTCACTCTGTCCCGTGTCGATGATTTCCTCAGATTCATTCACCCTCCTTTTCTGCGAGCCTCCAATCCCCTGGCTCTCGGGTGGTTTCCTGCCTCCTCCTCTCTTCCATCTTGCCTCTTGAAGAGATGGTTTTCTTTTGCTCCTTGTAGTTTCCTCATCGCTTTCAGATTCAGTACTGTGGTTTCCAGCTCCGGAATCTTGTTGGTTAGAAGAATCCGAGAATATGAGAAGTTTTAGACTTCTGCAGCCTAGTCTCTTCTTGGAATCAATCTCAGAATCCATTTCATCTGAACTGACTTCTGAGAGACAAAAGGAGAAAGTGACAAATAGAATCGTGTTGGGGAAGAACAACCAGAAGTCCTGAATCTCAAAGCCTTGGATACAGTGCCTGGAGAGTCGCCAAAGTTGCCATTTTAATGTGATAGAAAGGGATAGAGAGAATACGAGAATAAATTACTTTTTCTCTCAACTGTCACAATTTTGAGTGCTAATTTTCTTTAACGCAGAGATGGGGAACTATGGCCCCTTTATGACTCATGGACTTCAACTCCCAGAATTCAGGAATTCACAAGACATAAAAGGGCCACAGATCCCCAACCCTGGTCTAGTGGTTAAGGCAGTAGGCTGGAAAGCAGAGACCATGAGTTCAAGTCCTGCCTTAGCCTTGAAAGCTGGTTGGGTGACTTTGGATCAATCACAAGAAGAACTGAGAGTTCTAGCCTCACCGTAACCAGGAAAGCCAGCGGGGTGACTCTGAGCCAGCCACTTTCTCTCAGCCCAACTCACTTCACAGGATTGTTATTGTGGGAAAAATAGGAGGAGAAAGGGTTATATAAGTTTACTGTGCTAAGTTATTGTAAAAATAATAAAGGCAGGATACCAATAAATAATATAACAAAAATAATTTCCCTCTTTTTATCTTTGGTTTGTCCACTTCTGGTGTTCAGTCCTTGGAATTCCAGATAAGGCTGAAAAAAATCCACATTCTTATGAATGTCAGGTTACTTGTGGCAAACAAATTGTTGGTAGGTAGGAATCTATCTTCAATTTTGGAGTCCAGCTCCAAGTTAAATATATAGCCTGGACAAAGCTGAATTCTTATCATTATGATTGGTCATTTATTTACCTAGTGCCTAGTTTTCATTAGATTCTGCTTTTTCCTTTAATTTTTTCCAAATCATTTCACTCTTAAAATTGAAAAGTACATACAAAAAACTTCTAAAAACAAAGACAGAATGAAAAAAGCAGGTTTAAAAAAAGAGTTCAATAGAATCAATACAAGAATAGCAATAGGGATAACAGAAGAGGAGAGACAATAATTTATGAGAAGGGTGGAAGAAAGCATTGGCTTTGACCTGGCTCCAGCAATCATCAGCCCTTCCCAATCAGTGCTTTGGGGTATATTGAAGCAAATTTCCAGAATGCAATGCTCAGCCAGCGAAGGTTTGGATATCTATCCCCTCCTGATTTTCTTTAAATTCCAGAAAGCATAATCAAAGTTCAAGACTTACAGGATTGTTGGTCCAACACACTTGGAGGGCAACAGGTGGCCTGTATCTGGGTTCAATGCAGCCTGACATTTGCTGAATTGAAGCCTAGCTAGAGGCTCACTTGGAGCAGATGGAGAAGGATGATAAAACAGCAAGTGGATGGTACTATATTGATTCCAAATGTAAATAAGGATGGTTTTGTATCACAGTCTCACAGCATTGATTTAGATCAGCATTGCAGTTCACTTGCATCTCTCTGGATTAAGGCAGAAATACTCTGCATAAATAAAGAACAAAAAAAAAGAACAACCAGAAACAAAAAACAGAACCCTTTGCCCTCATATCCTAGTTTCCCATGGGCAGAGGTGAAGTGTTTGGGGCATACATACTTCAGTCACTCACTGATTCACCCTGCAAACTGTCCTCAAGATGCTATTATGGAGAGATCCTCAAAAGAGGTTAACTCTCATTGAGGGCAGGCAATTGTTAGGGAAATTATGAAAAAAACCAGTTTCTGCTTTAATAAAAGATCTGTTTTTTCTTCTTTATTTGTACTGAGTTCTTAAAAGTGAATTGAGGGTTGTCCTAGTTAAGTGTAGAACATTAATACTGTGTTATTGTCTGTAAGAAGCTTGATAAACTAAGAAACTTCAGATTGTTTGCTGATGGATGCGGAAACCCCAGGGTATAAATGGGATGAAGAAATTAAAGCATACAGTTCTTTCACCCAGAACTCCATTCTTTAGAAAGCAGCAATTTCATCGCAAAAATAATCCCTCTATTATTTTTGAATACTCAGAAAGCCATTATATCGCAAATTCCAATGTCGTTTTTATAATAGGGAGACCCAGATCTCTCTCAGTGTAACCCACCTTACAGGAGTTTTATTGTGGTGATAAAATTAGAGCAGCTCTCCATCTATGGCATCTGGGCTGTTAAGAGTTCAAACAGGCTATACATGCAATACTAAATGATAATAAATAATCCAATCCAACACAACAGCCAATGGATCTTTAGAAAAGCATGCAAGTGGAATAGGATGGCTCTGGTCTATTGCTAATTACCAGCAGCCAGAATTTTGGCAGTAATGCAGAACATATCACAGAGTTCCCAAAACTAATAGTCTGGTTCTCTATGAATCTATTTCTCCATTAAAATCATCTGAATTAGTCAACATCATCATCTTTGGTAGTAGCAAATTAACTACTCAATACAGTTCTTTTATTGGACCCAGATTCCCTTTGATTAAATTTTTATTTATTTATTTATTTATTTATATACATATACATATACATATACATATACATACATAC